GCAATAATAAATTATTCGAAAATCATTTATTAAATTTTCATTTTACACTGTGTTTCAACTATAAAGAATCATTAGAAATCTTATCAGATTTCTGATGAGTCTTTATAGATATTTATTACACATAATTTCCCAATTTAACATCTTAATGGTAATTTTTTTGAACCACTTATTAGTAGGGGAGGGTATATGAGGACTTTTTTTTGAGTTAGTCTTACTGAACAAACATTTTCTGAGGTCAAATTCCATGCTGAACACGAATCACCAAGTATTTTGCTGTACTACATTGTTTGTCCTTTCTACTACATGTCCTTTCTACTACATGTCCTTTCTATGGTTTTCTGGGTTTTGAATTTCAATGTAAAATTGATGTAAAAATAACAATGGTTTATTTTATATGTGAATAAAATGCTACAATTTACAATTTTAAAACATTCCAAGAATTAAAAGATTGGTCTGTAACTTGAGTCGCATTGATTCAGAGGCAAAATGAATGAGCCACAGTAACAAACTTATTCATTTTGAATGAATAAGTTTAGTTTCAAATATATTATTGAGTATTTTTTCAGCAGCTAAAACACTTTTCAGTAATCGATTAATGTTGTTGACAAGATCATACACAGGCTTGAAAACGTTTTTTAAAGAAATTCTTGATTCATCAGCAGTTGCTATAATTCGTCAAGAATGAATTTCTGCATTTTAATTTGTCTGTTGCTCAATTTCACACGTCTTCTCTGTCTGATATCAGGAGCTACAGTGAGACACAAATAACATATTTCACCAAGGAGCAGACTTTCAGATAATGAGTCTAGTATTTCAATATCAGACTGTGTCACAGGTCCTACATGCTTTTTACAATCTTCCAGCACTTGGAAACTTTTTGAATTTTTCTGCTTTTCAGTTCTTCTTTTTTCACAATAGACAGGCTTTGGGCAACCTGAACGGTTTCTATAAAGTCCTTTTCTAGTTTTCTAGCCTGCTTCACCTCATCAGGCATCCTCGCCCATTTTTATTTCTTTCTCTTGTCTCTGCATGTGAACTGGATAAAAGATGAATCTCTGAGTAGACTATTTGTCATTATTACATTTTTTCTGGATAATGTAGTGACGGTTGTGGAGCCACCACATATTTTGATTTGGTTGTCAAAGTCTGATCGCACCTAGGTTGGTGAGAGGTGCCAGTTTTAATTTTTCTCAAGCGATATCCAGATTTTTGAAGAAGTCCATTTCAGTCTATTGAAAGTATCTAATACTTCTTCCAGAATACCACCAATAAAGTCTTTACTAGCGATTGATCAACTTTTCTCAGCTTTCAGGTTTCTGAGTTCAGGAATTTTGGTTTAAATGTTCGCACACCATCTTAAGATTGTTCATCATTCATGGAGATTTTACGGTCATCCACCCCCAGAAGTTCCATTATTGGAAATATCAGGATATTGCCGAGTTCAGCATAGATTTTGGCACACAACTGAAACCAATCCATTTGAATGTACGTAGATACTGCCAGCACTAACTTATTAGAATTTATGTCAACCATATCGCTGAAAAACTGCATTATTAGCTCTCTGTTTTATGAACTCTTTAGAAATATTAGTGATTCTTCCGAATATGTTTGAAATAAATCCAAAGAACCCGCTGAGCTCATTCTTAGCATTCAACAATTGTTTGTACTCGTTGTAGAGAGAGAGACAGAACTTCTGAATACTTTATCTACAGTTTAGCCCACATCCAAAATCACATGAGCAGAACATTCAAAGTTTTTCTGACAGCCTACATTTAAGCTTTCTAGTAATGTTGTGTTGTTTCCAGCTCGATCAGTCATGAAGGAGCTTATGGAATCGAGTATATCATCTACCGTTATGTTAGATAAAGCTGCTAAGCATTTAAGTCTGAAACAATACGATTCTGATCCATCTGATCCAGAATGATTAACATTTTCTGTGTAGCCTGTAGTGACTGTTCTCCTTTGTTTATTTGGATTAATTATAGTTATATGATCAGTTTTAATGTCGTACATACAATGGCCCGCTGTTTTGGTCATGTCGCCCAAACCTACTGTGATGACTGAATCACCTTTATTGAGTATGAGATTGGCAGCCATGCTCAAGTTTAGAGATGCCGCATCTTGAAGAGACATATTAATGCATGGTGAACTGGGAAATATGTAAGTCAAATTGTTGGATGTACGCCTTCGCTTCAGTACATCAGGACCAGAGGTGTCACTGTTTGACTCTGAGATATTATCAGATTTTTCTAAGTCATTGGCAGTGGAATCTTCATTTCTGAAAATGAACAATGATCTAGTGCAGAGGAGCTCACCATTAAGGTAGATGACAATTGAAAATCTGATTTTTGCCTTGTCACTGCAGATGATAGATTGGATTTATACAGATTCATGGTGAGAAGTTCGAATTCAGGATCAGAGTCACTGGGAGGGCTGCTTTCAACATGTTCTGGTGACGCAGGATATGTCAGTTTTCATGCAGTTTTGTGGTCATCAAGCC